ACTTTCTAAAAAACCAATTATTTAACAAAATTTTTATACAATTCTTCACAATAATCCAATTACTTTCACTAATAATAACATTTTTAATGGAAATTCAATTTTTTAAAAAAATTTTTGATGAAATTCAAAGCAAGAGTTCAATTATTTTCATAAATAATAAAACTCATCGAAGAATTTCAATTATTTTTAATACTATTTTTAATTAATTAAACGAAAAATTCAATTATTTTCACAAATAAAGTTTTTCATAAAAATTGAATTATTCAAAATAAAATTTTCATAATATTTATTATATTTCGAAAAAAATTAATTATTTAAAACAATGTTTATAAATGTCTTTTAAAGAATTCAATTATTTTCAAAAATAACAAAATTTTTCACAGAAATTCAATTTTTTTAAAACATTTTAATAGAATTTTTCGCTATTATTTTCATAAATAATAAAATTCTTCTCAGAAATTCAATTATTTTTGAAAACTTTAATAAAATTTTTCGCAATAATTCAATTATTTTCATAAATAATAAAATTCTTCTCAGAAATTCCATTATTTTTGAAAATTTTAAAAATAAAATTCATCGCTGGATTTCAATTATTTTTAATACAATTGTACTGGAATTTCTCAAAAAATTTAATTATTCTTAAAAATTTAATTTCAATTCCTCGAAAAAATCAATTATTTAAAAAAATGTTTTTTTTTAAAATTCTTTGTAAATAATTCAATTATTTACAAAAATATTAGAATTTTTCACAGTAATTCAATTGTATTCAAATATTTTAATAAAATTGTTAGAAAGAAATCAATTATTTTAAATACAATTTTTAATAATTTTTTCTTTTGAAACATAAATGATATTACCGTTGATTATGTTGGTTGGCAAATATTAACAGTAATAACATTTACGTTCAATTTTTTAATTTTATACGGTAAGTGCTACCGTCGCGTCGATTATGTTTATTCTGGAATAATAACACTTGTAATACAAGTTAAATTAAGTGACTAATATATTGCATGAATACATTATGAAAAATGAATACATTATGATATTAGTTTGATATTATAACATATACGATAAAGGGTGATGTGAGTTTCAAGTGTATTAGAGTTAAAATCGCATGTACCCATCTTTTGCTACCTGAGTTGCAGTTTATTGAATTTTTTGATCTTTTAGAAGCACGTGGCGACACGCGGCTATTAAATGAATGCCCCTTTTGTATAAAAAAACATCAATACCAAAGCACTCGAAAGATGTTAAAGCGAGTGTTATCAAGTGTAAGGGTCTCGAGTGTTATTCGATAAAAGTTCGGTCATCCGGAAAATGATCGAAAACGTCGTCGTGAAGGGAAACGTTCACGGTAAAAAAAAGTGAACGCGCGTGAAAAAAAAATCCTGATAAATTTCTCATTATAGTTTTTCTTTTCTTTTATAAAATTTTTTTTTTCTTTCTTTCTTTTTTAATAGGAATGTAAATACATTCTTTATGCTCAAAAATATTTTATACGTCAAATTTTATATTTACTCTATCTATAACAAAGTAATTAAAAAACTATGTACTTTTTTAATTACTTTGTTATAGATGGAGTAAATTTTTGTATTATAAATATCAAAATAATTTTCGCTCGTAAATTAAAATTGAGTGATCGCAATTTTATAGTTTAGTGTGTTTACGAGGGAATAATAAGGATAATGATTTATAATAATCTTCCTGGGAGCGGCGGATAAATTTCTAAAATCTAATAAATACCGCAGATACCGATTATAATGACCAGAAAGTGTTTATGGGCAAAGGAAATTTAATATTTGACGTGAGAGAGAGACTCTACTTTGTAGGAGGTTCAAGTATGCGGAACATTATCCGATGAGAACAAAAAGGAAGGACGAAGGGTCCATTGGAAAATATTAGGGTGTCGCATGACCTAAACAATACTGCTATTAGTTTGCTTGCTACACTATTTGCCAAGTCACACGCGAGACAAGAATCAACCCCTCGATTTATTTGTCAAAGAATTACCAATCTGCGTCCACTAATGTGAAATGCAGTAATCTCTCAATAATTAAACTTTATTTGTCTATTTAATTTCAATCTTTACTTTCGATAAATTGAAGTTAATTTCAGAAGTCTTTATTAAAGAAATGTACTTAAAACATTCAATAAATAAAAACCTCGACGATTTTAAAAATCATCCTTCAACATATCTTTCGAGTGCTTTAGTATTTAAATTATCGAAAGTTCTCTTTGACAAAAAGTTCCACATTTTTGTTGCTTTTAATAGCGAATTTTTTGCTCTAATTTTAATTCTTACACTCGAACCCCGTTTTAGTGGACCCGATATTAAAATTCCACTAAATTGGGGCTCGAGTGTAAGAATTAAAATCAGGTATTGGGTGCAGGTTAATCTTATTCTCCTCTCAATCAGAAACGTCACTAAAAAACTGGGTTAAAATATCTTTTTTCATTATAAACTAGAAATTGATAAATTTTTTAATAATAAATTTTAGAAATTAACTATTTTTAAAGTCACTTTATAAAAATTGGGCTAAAATATATATTTTCAAACAAAACAGTGCAATTTACAAAAATACATTTTTAATGATTTTAAATAATAAAATGATTGTAATTTTAAAATACATAATAAATGTAGATAGTAAATTTTTCGAAATATTTTCTTTTTCAATTTTTCTTCAATTGACATATTCAAAGAAGCGACTTTGATGTCTAAGAGCTATATAACATGGGAAACGATGATGACATTTACGGAAATCTAGAATTCTCTGTTGGAGGGTTATGAATTTCTCAACTACAGTAACTTAATATCAAAGAGAGCATTTCAAACAACAATGAAAGAGAGAGGGTTCTCTTGACTTCTGAAGACGCACCGACAAAGCGTAAAGATATACACAGAAAACTTTGGAATAACTCGTTATGTAGGAATAACAATGTTTATTCAAAAAATGTTTTAGTTTATTTCTCGATTTTTCAAAAATTTATACAGTCGATTCTCGATAAAGTGTAAAGGGAGAAATATAAATTCTAATTAACGAGATTATACTCTTAATCGGTCTCACTTGTTCCACAAGCAATAGACTACACTTACCGTCTGTTTGCTACTAAAATTTTTAAATAACCAACAACTGCGATAATAAATAAATGAAATAAGTAATGAACAAAACGATAGAAAATTACTCGTCAATAATATTTACATTTACATGCACTTACCGTGTAAGCACAAGTGTAACGGTAAGTCGCAAAAATAAACAGGCAAAGTAAATAGTAAATAAATTTATGATAATAAATTACAGTTGTCGAAAGTACTTATCGTTGATAGTATTTGCATAATTAAACGCACTTACCGTGTAAACACAACGTTAAGTGCCACGGTAAGTGCAAAAGAAATGATAAATAAGTTTATGATAGTAAATAAATGTACGATAGTAAATTACAATTGTCGAAAGTACTTTTTGTCGAAAAGTATAATTAAACGCACTTACCGTGTTAGCACAACGTTAAGTGCCACGGTAAGTGCAAAATAAATGGTAAATAAATTTATGATAATAAATAAATTTTCTATAGTAAATTACAGCAGTCGAAAGTCCTTACCGTCAATAATAGTTACATAATTAAACGCACTTACCGTATAAGCACAACGGTAACTGCCACGGTAAGTGCAAAAGAAACAAAAATTTACGACAGTAAATTCCAATTTACGAAATTTACAAAATTAAATGCACTTACCGTGTAAGCCCTAAGCCAAGTGCAACGGTAAGTGCATCACCAAAAACTAGAACTAAATAAAATACGAAATAGTTACGAGAGTAATGCGGATAAAAAATTGAGAATGATTCTACATGAGAGAATAATATGTCAATAAATAATTGACTAATTGAAAAGACAAAAGCTGTGAAGAATGCAAAGTTATAACGGACACGCATACACACAAAAGGCCAGGGGAAAAAAATCCTTTCGTCTTTTGTTTCGACACTTTGGATCGTGAGATTTTTCTGAAAGAGAAGACGCAGTGCGCCAACGAATAAATATCATTTGAATTGATCTTCGCCCGGGGGATATATCGAGAGATTTGAGATAAAATTTAGATCTATGCGTGGCGCTGTCATAAAGGACGCATGAGATCTCAACTGCTCAATCTCTCGACATTATATGAACATACACTGTGTCCATCTAAACCAGTCGAGCGTGTTGCTCAGCAGGCGCCATCACCAGTTCTGCACCCTCGCATCCGTCAAAAAAGTTACTTTCTCCTTCGACCAACGGTTTGACGATAAATAATTCTTCGACAAGTACTTGTCCAGTTTATACATCAGCTCAAGATTATTATCCTTTTTTTCTCCACCTCTCTCTGTCTCTCTCTTATTCTCTTATTTTCTCTCTTTCTCTCCTTTATACCTCTTCAGAAGCACTCGCACATCACTTATGAATTATTTCAGAATAATCTCTCTCCGATTGTTTGTTCAACATTTATTTTCAGAGTATATTTATAAATCACTTTTTCATTTTCAATTACTCTCTAAACTTGAATTAGTAAACTGTAAAAATGTTTGCTAATTTGAATTAGTGACTGACTTTTTGCTTTTAGTAAATTTTTTTAAATAAATTTTATTAAAAAATTAGTAGAAGTTACTATTTTTAAGTAAAATTTCATAATTTAAAAGCAAAAAGTTTTTTTTTCTTGTAGCAATTAAGAACTAAAAATTATTGTTTATATATATAAAAATTTTAACAAAATTCTACACAAGAATTCAATTATTTTTAGTCCTACAATTTTTATACAATTTAAATAAATTATAAATTATAAATTATAAATTATAGATTATAAATTATTATAAATTTTCAATGCAATTTTAATAAAATTTCTCGAAAGAATTGAAATATTTAAAAAAATTTTCATAATGTTAATATTAACATTTTTGTAAATTAAATGTAAAAAAAATAATAATGCTAATAATAATAATAATATTAATAATAATTTTCGTTTTCTGTTTCAGGTCTCGAGTCTCAAGTTCAAGATTCCAAAGATATGTATTGGTTCTAGAATTGAGTGCCAGTATTTCGGTCCATTAATGACTGATAAAGGACCGATAAAGTCAAAAATTGGTAATTAGGAAAAAATTAGGTAGAAATTATTGATACAAAGAGCGTATAATTGATTCACTCGCCGTCCTTGATTATAAGTTTCGCCTCGATTTTCATTTTCAAAAAAAAAAAGAAGAAAGTGAAAAGAAAAAAAAACATTTTCTCAAAAAAAAGGAAAATTTACATTTTAGTTAATTTATTTCTCCCACAATAGAAGGTTTTGTTCATCATTTTCTTATTTATTTTGTTGGAAAATTTTTTTCCAACTCAATTACTAAATTTAATGCGCTCCCAAGAAAGGTAAGAAGCAAAATTTTTAGGTTATGTTTATAATTTTTAAAGTAAAAAAACAGAAAGAGAATTAATTACAATTACTAAATTATTGTTCAAGTCTTTGTTAAATCCAAAATATTCAATAAAAACTATTTTTAAATTTACGTAAGAAAAAAAAACTTTTAATTATTAGCTAAAAGTAACACAAACATAACCTTAGATTTACTTTTAGGTACCTTTTTTTGGAGCGCGTCAAAAATTATTAAAAAACGAAAAAAATTACAAAAAAAATTATTAATTAAAATTAAAACTAAAAAAAAATTAAAAATTGTAAAAGTAATTAATATATAAAGAGAGTGATAATTGGGGTGGAACGGACAAAAAAAAGACTTTGTTATACTTTTAAATGGAAGCGTTAAAATTGTACATAATGTTAACTAAATCTTTTAAGGCTCTTCTACTGTAGCGTGAATTTAAACTACTATTAAATAGTAAAAAAAACTGCGCGCGCACTATTAATACCTTAGTGACTATATGCTGCTAGCCGAAAAAAAATCGAGCGAAATTTCTAGTTTATAGTTACTAAGAAAATTTGTTCAAAAGAAAAAAAAATCTGTTTACAATTTTCTACTAATTACGAGAAAACAAAACTAAAGAGTAGAATATTGTTGCAAACTTTTCTTGTATAAAATTCTTTCTTTCTTTCTTTAAATTTAAAAATATCTAACAGAGAATCTGTTACATTCAAAAGAAGAATTTTTTGTTTCTTTTATAAAAGAAATTTTTCAAATTATTTTTTTTTGTTATTTTTTCTTGTATACTATTGTTAAACTTTCAAATTTGTAACTTCTTTAAATCGTGAAAAAATAAAATATTGAAGAAGGAAATTTTGTTTTTTGGGGGTAATTTATTTTTTTCCTCTATATAGATGATATAATAAAATATAAGATGATCCTAGACAAATAGTGTGTATAAAAAAAAGTATTGAGATAATTGGGATGTCTTAAAGACATTACCCTCTCTCCTTATGTAAATAAGGTTAAGTGAAATATTGTTCTACGAATTTAGTTTTTAAAAGACGAGAGAAGTATTTATTGACCAATGATCTTGCCATACACTGCTATGTATATTGCTGTATTATTATTATTTTTATTATTTTTAATATTATAAATATTATAAATACTATAAATATTATTATTATTTTATTATTATTACTAGGAATATTATTATTATTAATATTATTATTATATAGATATCAATATTATTGTATCATTTTTATTATTATTATTAATTATTAATTATTTTTATTGTAATTTTCTAATTACTGATCGCTGCAAAGTTCTAAATTTTTTTAAAAAGTATTATAATTAAAAGGCAAGTGGAGAGACAGTCAAATTAAAAATTAATCCAATGTTTTCATATTTTTGTATTTCTGTTTAAAAAAATTTTTTTCTTCTTCTTTTAATTCTAATTTAAAAATACAAATTTATGAAGATTAAAAAGAAAATTTTTGATATGACTGTCTGTCCAATATTACTCCTTAATGTATTATCTTGTAATTTGATTTTCTTTAATTATTTTTTCAGTTTAATATTCAATTCAATTTTCGACTTTGTACAAAAAAAATGAAAAATTAAAGGACGTGATGCTTATCTTGCTACGATTATATAAATATATATATAGATGTTGAATAAACTATTAATTATTTCCAAAATGGTTTTCAAATTTTTTACAATTGGTTTTTCAATAAAACACTTTCCCTAAGATACGAAGTCAAAAAAATTAGAACGAGAACAAGTAAATTGTTTTAATTAAAAAGAAAAATTTTTTTTCTCTATATTTCAATTAATTAAAATTGCTTACTAATTTGAATTTGTAACTGATTTTTCTGCAATTTGATTTTAAGTAGTAAATTATGCTAAAAAATAGTAATTTTTACTGATTTATTTGTAAAATTTACTGACTCAAAAGCAAAAAAAAAGTGACTGACTTTCTATCAATAAATTCACTTTCCGATTTTGAATTACTAAATTTTGATAGGTAGTAAATAGTAATTTCTACTAATTTACAAGTAAAATTTACTGATTAATTCCTAGAAATAATCATTTATTAGTAAAATTTAGTAATTATTATTTATTAATAAAATTTATTAATACAAAAGCAAAAAAAAAAAATTAGTGACTGACTTTTTACCAATAAATTCAATTTTTGCTTTTAAATTTTACTAATTTACTAATTTACAAGTAAAATTTACTAAATTTACTATAAATTCGTAGAATTTACTATTTCTAATCGAAAAACGAGATTTTTTATTTATAATTAATCTCTGCAATATTTTACTTAGGGAGCAGTATTTAATATTTTATTTAACATTATTAATTATATAACTCTCTGGAATTAGTAAACATTTTTACTAATTTGAATTAGTGATTGCAAATTTTTGCTTTTGAATTAGTAAATTTTACCTAATAAATAGTAATTTCTACAAATTAATTAGTAAATTTTACTTATAAATTAGTAGAAATTACTATTTATTAGCAAAAATTAGTAATTTAAAAGCAAAAACTGAATTTATTGGGAAAAAATCAGTCACTTTTTTTGCTTTCGAATTAGTAAACTTTACTAATAAATTGTAATTTCTACGAATTAATTAGTAAATTTTACTTGTAAATAAAATATTATAGAAACGAATTATAAATAATAAAATCTCGTTCCCCGTTCAGTAGGTAGACAACAGTGGTCTAGAGATTGCGCACGATGTTAATTACGCATTTATTTAAATTACAGGGTTGATTCTTAAAGCCGGGAGGGTTAATCGAGTACGTAATAAGAAAGGAGAATTTAATCTTCTGGAATTTTATCTTTTCGATTAGATTATAGAAAGGACTCTTGACATGTCATTAAATTTTCAGCTAATTGTTCGTCTAATGAAATTTCCTCTTTACGATTAAAGGAAAATTTATATTATTATTATTAATTATCATATTGTTTAATAATTACTATTTTCATTAGAATTCATCAAATTTTTTATTTTTTTGCGTCACATTTATTAAAATAACAAATAATTCTTATATAATTATTTTGAAAATAATAAATAAAAATAAAAAGCGCGTCACATTTATTTTTTCCTTCATTTTAAAGTTAAATAATAATAATAGAGATATTTAATTAAAAAAAAATTTGTTTTTTAATAAATTTGTTCTTTAATAAATTCTTTAAAATGTTTTAATAAATTTGTTTTTTAATAAATTCTTTAAAATCTTCTAATAAATTTGTTTTTCAATAAATTCTTTAAAATCTTCTAATAATTTTCTTTTTTGCTAAAAAAACAGAATTTTTCAGAAATTTACTCCCTTGGATAATTTTTCGAAGGGTGAAGTTTGCCGCATTCATTAGCGAGAATATTTTTGTGAAAAAAATCTTTTCGAAAATGTCACTGTCATTTTTGAAATGCGAAGGAAAAAGGCGTTAAAACATCTGTTTCTCGATCATGCTTATCGATTTCCTCAACACGTGCGCCTTAGATTTTGATTCCAGATTTCTGGCTTCATTCGAGCGGAGAAAAATTGACGTTGAAGAAATTTGAAAGAAACAAGAAGGAATTAACACGAAAAATTATGTTCTATGGAAAATATCGGATTTTTTATCACAATTTGGAAAAAAATATTTTTAGTGTCAAAAGAAAAAGTAGAAAGAAAAAAGAAAAGTAAATTGATAGATTATTTAACAATAAAAAATTTTTCATTACATTTTTTTTTCTTTTTTAATTTGTTTTAAAATTTTTAATTTATAATTTATTAACTAGTTTAATAAAAAATTGCAAAAACTTTTAATTTATAGTATACCCTGTATGACATGCGCGCTCGGTGAAAGTGAAATCCCCTGAGAGGAAATTTATAAACGATACTTCCGGGAATGTGTTAATTAGAAATTCGAGCAATATAAAAGCAATTCAAATAATTTGAGAAATAAAAATTCCAAAAAGTAAAAAAAAAAATAATTAATTAATTGCAAAATGAAAGATAATTATTATTCTCGTTTCATAATTTTTGGATCGTTAAAATGTTGTATAATCAATCGATATAGGAGAGAGAAGAGGATTCCAATAAACGGTAGCCGCCAGTAAATCTAGCAAATAATAAAATAAATCTTGTTGGCCGACTGGGAATCAAGGAACAAGGAGAGAGAGAGAGAGCTCGATTCTCCGCGGATAAAAGGATAGCGGGAATGAGAAGACGGAAAAGATTTACTGGGCGCCCCGACGCCCTCCGTCCTCTCGCCCTCTTCTAATTACCAAAATCTTCCTCGCTGTCATCCATAACTGACGGTAAATTTTTTCCCTCTAAAACTCAAATATCAACTCTTTCTTTTCTCCTGTAGAGTTGAAATTTTTTTTTTTTTTCTTTGCTTTTATTATTCATTTTTTTCCACTCTTTCCTTTTCTAAAACTGGATTCAACTTGTGATTTATCTTAGGATCAGAATTCTATAAGGTACTAAAGAGTACTTTTTCGAATGACATTTGTTTAATCTTTAAATATGTGAATTTGATCGTATCTTTATTTTATCTTTTCAGTTCTATCACTTTATTCGTGTCATTATAACAATTTTGAGCGTGGTTAGAATTCTAAATTAGTTATTATTAGTATTAGTGTCTTATGAAAGAATTTCCGAATTTCAAAGTGCAGAGTCATTGATTATTCATTTTTTATTTTTTTTGCTATCTTATTTAATTCTGCCTTTGTTAAAAAAAATTT